TCCACGTTCCTGCCTTGAGTTCCTGCCCTGAATTCCATTCATGCTGCTACAACAATAAGCTGAAATAAACCCTTTCCTCCCTAAGGTGCTTTTGGTCATAGTGTTTATCACACTGTGATAAATGTACTGTCGCAATGAAGAGCAAACTAAGACAGTACACACCACGGTCTGGCATCCTGATACCACGTGAAGCCAAGAAACCCACCAAAGGGGCAGAGAAAGCCACCGCCTGATTGGGCCGTGAAAGGAGACTGTGACCTGGAAGACACATGGGCAAAGCATTGAAGATGGGAGCTCCTCTCCACTCTCTCTGCAGCTGAGCCACACCGGGCTCAGTTCCCCAGAAACACCTGCTAGTGGACCACACTAAGCTGCTGCCTCTGGTGGTTCCCTTCGGCTGGGAGCCCCTTTCCAAGCTCAGCTCCTGCCCACCTCCTCCTTACCCTTGATGCATCACCATCAATAATGTTTCTTCTGAACTTTTCCTGGCCCCTACCAGTCCATGTTTACTGCTACACACCCCACATTTCCCCTACACGGAGGCTTAGCAGGGCAGGTGCATTATGATTGCTTGTCTGTGAGTACCACAAGAACATGAGTCTCTAGAGAAAATCCCCAGCACACAATAGGTGCTCTTTGATTGGCTTCTGACTGAAAACTAAGGATATTCTGTAACCCCTCAGAGGCCCCTTTGAGAACTGGAGTACACTTTCCTGGAAATTCTGCCAGGCTAGCAAGCCCATAGTAGCAAAGGGCAGCCTTTGAGAGGGCTGAGAAGGGAGAAGCTCACACAAACAAACACCTGCCGTGTGTACTGAGGGCCAGCAAGGGAATTGAAAAGGGTTTTATTGCAGAATTCAGTCTCCTGGGGGAGATTATTAGGAACACAAGAGCAATATAACAGATCCCTTCGGTTCAAAGCTAGAATAGGGACAAACGTGAAACCCAAGCTGGGTGAGCAATGTTACTGCCTGCACACTGATCTTAGATAAAGATGTCGGAAAGCAATGCACAAGAACTTAGATACATAGGTATGTAAGGTAACAGAGTCAACAAACTCAATTCACATACATCATTTTATTTCATTTTACTCATGCATCAAGTCCTTTGGGGTGGTAACCAAAGCTAAATTAACAGTTAGTGCGGGGAGGACCCTGGAAGGCTTTGAAAGTGACGGTGAGGGCCTCAGTGTCAAGTGGGGGAGAACATGCAGCCATGTTTCAATGTAGACAGGAGCATGACGGGTATGTTGGGATTTCTGTTTCAGTTGTAAGACCTGGCTTACAAGACACAGGGAATCTATTTCTCATAGAGTGAGCATTCTTGGGGTGTCTCTGAAGCCTGGGTGTAGGCTTATCCTGGGCATTGAATAATGTAAACATCACTTTACTGTTCTCTCAGTCTGGGCTGCCATTGCTTTCAGGGTCTTTATGATGACAGCCAGTCCCAGCTTCAAGCTCCTGTCCTCCAAGGCTAAATTTGATCTGAAAGCAGAGATTTTCTTTGTCAAATTTTTAGCATCATTATTATCTAATAACCAAGGTTTGATTATCACTGAGAGATAAGCAGGTACCCACTCAAGAACTAATCACTGAGCCATAGGGATGGAATTAGATGACTGTAAGCTTAGGTTACACCCCCAGAACTGGTGTAGGGTCAGGCCCACTGTCTTAGTTAGGGTTTTATTACTGCGAAGAGACACCATGACCATGGCAAGTCTTATAAAGGAAAATGGGGCTGGCTTACAGTTTCAGAGGTTTAGTCCATCATCTTCATAGTAGGAAGCATGGCAGTGTGCAGGCAGACATGGTGCTGGAGAAGGAGTTGAGAGTTCTACATCCAGATTGGCAGGCAGCAGGAAGTGAACTTGCTTAAGCTTCTGAGACCTCAAAGTCTACCCCAAGTAAACCTCCAAAGAAGCCACACCTACTCCAACAAGGCCACACCTCCTAGTAGTGCCACTCCCTATGAGCCTATGGGAGCCATTTTCTTTCAAATCACCACACCCACCCAAACCACATGGCCTGGTTATCAAGTGTCACAAAAGACAATCTGATAAAAGCTCGGGACAGTTGCGGTGACTGGGCAGCGTTCCCATCCATTCATCACATGAAAGCAATGAGGAAGAGCTGATGCAGGACCAGAATCTGCTCTGATAGTTCTGTCCTGGGCTCCATCTGTTTGTCAGCAAGCATCGATGGAATTCAGGATAGAAGAATTCTTCCTTGTGTAGAGTTATGCCAAACATAACAATGCATCACATGTGTGATTCTAACATTTGTGATACCTGCCTCCCATTGCAGTGATAGTTAAACATGCTTGCACACACTTTCAAAAGCCCACTTAGGGGGCAGTACCTCCCCCATTTGAGAGTTCTACACTTCCCAGACCTGTGATTCAGAGAGGGTCTAACCTCATGACAGGATTCAGCATAGAAATGATCTAGTCCACTGCTTGGGCTAGTTCTTGTGGCCCGAAGGACAAGGGCTGAGTGAGGATGGAAGGGGGATGGTGCTATGATATGATAGTGTTCCCCAAGGTCCAGGTGTTAACAGTTTGGTCCTCAGGGTAGCACTGATAGGGGTGGTAGAACCTTGGGGAATTAGAGCCTATGGGGGGGGGGTCCTTAGATCAGTGGGGCCATGCTCTTGAAGGGGATTGTGGGACCAAGGTCTCTTCTTTTCCCGTTTTGCTTTCAAGCTCACGATATACCTTGCATAATGTGCTGACCTCATCAGAGGCTCAAAGTTAGGGTTGCCTGAGCTGGGGAGCAGGACCTCTAGAGCTGTGAGCCAATAACCCTTTACTTTGAAGAAGGAATACTCAGTTGCCTCAGGCACTTTATTATAGTCATTCAAAGCTGACTAGTGCACCAGGGAATGCACCCCCAGAGGATGCATGTAAGGTTGGAGATAGTAGGTTTCCATTTCCCATACTGTTTTTCTTCTGCAAAGAGTGACACCATAGAAACAACTCATTGTTATAGTCAGAGTCGATCTGTCTCTTCCTCCTTTACTTGAGTAAAACAAGAAACAGTAGCATTAAGTGTGTCACACAGTGCTAACAAAGACAAAGAGAGGTTGTGAACGGTGCTCAATTTCTATTAGAACAACTGCAAGATCAAACCCTTCTCTCTTCTACTCGAAAATGTCTATCAGAACCTCTGCACGTGAGGTTTTAAGATAAAATTTAATCTGTTTTAATTGACACACACAAAAAAATGGAATCCTTTAAGAAACTTCTATACTTTTTTTTCTTTTTTTGTTTTTTTTTTTGAGACAGGGTCTCTCTACGTAGCCTTGGCTGTCCTGGAGCTCTCTCTGTAGATGAGGCTGGCCTCGAACTCACAGAGATCCACTTGCCTCTGCCTCCTAAGTGCTGGGATTGAAGGTGTGAGCCACCATTGCCCAGCCAATACTTTATTGATAACACAATACGTTTGTCTAAAGAAATAGTCAAGTGGTTAAGGAGTGCTGGTCTAAAGAGTGTAATAAATGAGCCCGGAGACTACTCCAACCAAAAGCTGGGGCTATACTCCCTCCTCCCCGGGTTAGAGTGGCGGAAGGGGCTTAGGAATCCACACACAGGAAATCGGACAGAGCGCTCCAGGCCACTGCGCCTCTGACTATCCCTTTGGAAACGGTGGACCAGACGTTAAGTCAGGGCTGGCTTCACATCGTCACATTAGCGCTGCCTGGAAGGAGCAGTGGCCACCGTGGCTTCCCTGTGTCACCTCCCCATCAGAGACATGCCTGCTGAGACAGCTCTGTCTAGGGTCGTTTCTGTCACGCATCGGAACCCTATTGTAAGTGGCATTAGGCATTACCAGCCCCTCCCCACAAAGCCGCATTAAATGAGAGATGCGGCAAGTGTGGACTGCCAGGGCAGGTGTCACGGCAACTAGACGGCTCCAGCTCACGTGGCCCTGCCATCACGGGGCCTCTCTGCATTTTCGTTTTGACAGCTACTGGAGCCGGCTCACTGAGCATATTTCCACGCCATCAAGTACCCCCAAGTAGAAACGGTTTCTATTTCATATTAGAAGGAACTGGCATAAATTCCAGGCCATAGCTTAAAATTAAAACATATATACATTCTGTGGAGCACTAGAGGCTTTGGAAATTTTATGGCAGTGCACAAAAAAAGACGTGGAAAAGTGGACTTTGCCTTTGTTAGAAAGACCCCTTTCTTCTGAGCACCCAAAGCTTTCTGCCTATTATTCAACATAAAGTAATGTCGCTGCTGCTTGGTTGCAAGGGCTCATGGGAACAAACATTCCTAAGAGCACTGGAGCTTTGTGGATGGAGCCGCCCCCAACCTTGTTGCTATGGTAGAGTGCACACCACTGTTTTCCCCTAACCTTCTGCTGCAGCGCCCGGTCAGCACTGCTTTTTGAACTAATCGCCTGAATGCGAATTAAAGCAGGGGGCCTTCCCACTTCTCGTGGTCCTTGTTATGTCGATACCCACCACCACGCTTTCAAGGACAAACGCCCAGTTTGTAGATAGATTTGCTTTCTATTACATCGCTTGTACCCAAAATTTTAAAGACGAATGAAGGTAACACATGGGAAGCTAGTGACATCAACCCTCGCCCCGTGGTGTCCTCCGGATGCGTCTTGGAGCGCACATGCCATTTGTGGTTATAATTAACACTTGATGGCTACACCGCCTTTCCACATTGCAGGTGCTGCTTCAGATCTGTGTCCAAATGCTAAACAGTAGTATTCAGAAGACCAGTGGAAAGTCGATTCCCAACATTCCCAACCTGAACCCACACCCTCCTCTCTCTCCCTCTCTCTTACACACACACACACACACACACACACACACACACACACACACACACACACACACCCTCTGCCTACCAGAATCATTGCTCTTCATTCCCCTTTCCCTTCACCTCACACAACAAAGCCTGCAGGACAAGCCTCCCAGAGCCCTGACCGCTCTGTGCTGTCACCCACAAGCCACCACCCAGCCTCACTCGGCTCCTCTCACCTGGCTGTAGATCCACCTCTAGGGAAGCAGCCTTCCTGTGTGATCTTTCTAAAACATGAGTCTGGCTGCAGCATTCCCTTCTTCCAATGCCCCAAGCTCCCCTCACTGCTGATGGAGTCCAGAGGCTCTGAGCTCTGTTTTTTTTTTTTCTCTCTCCTGGGCACTGAATCTTTAGCAGTAGCGAAAACCACCCGACTTCTTCTTGCATATGCTTGCCTTTGTTCCCACCACCTGGAATCTTTCCTATACCATCCATTTAATAAATTACCTTTTACATTCTCTCTCTCTCTCTCTCTCTCTCTCTCTCTCTCTCTCTCTCTCTCTCTCTCTCTCTCTGTGTGTGTGTGTGTGTGTGTGTGTGTGTGTGTGTCTGTGTGTGTGTGTCTGTGTGTGTGTATGCCATGGCACACATCGGGAGGTCAAAGGACAGCTGATATTTCTCTCTTTCTGCCGCATGGTTCCCAGGGGTCAAATTCAGGCCATCACGCTTGCCAACAAGCACCTTTTCCATCTCACTAGCCCCAGACAAGCCTCTAAGTCCAGATGTCAAGCCAAGGTAACCAGCCCAGCTAGTGTAAATTTTGGGAGACTCTAGGCTACCCTGGATCGTCTTAGCCGGGAGAACCTTGGTGGCTCACATGATGGATATCTATTAAAGGAAAAAGAATCTCGAGCCCAGAAAATCTAGGGCTATTTGGGGTTATATAAAAGTAAGAATGAAATCAACTTTACACTCAGTTCTTCTTTGTAACTAGGAATATTGATTCTTACCTTCGTATGGGTTGAATTGTGTCAGATCAGAGCTGAAGGTGACAAGTTCTGTTCTTCCTGAAGACCAAGCGCTCTGCATTACACACCCAAGCCACTAGAACCTGCTTTTGTCTCCTGAAGCAACACAAATAAGAGTCCCACAATTTCTTCCTTGTTTTATTTTTAGAAATCATTATCATTCCCTTTCCTTTGAAAAATTACCACCGAGCTATTGTTCATTTCCTTCCCCCTCAACACTATCGAAGTTGTACATGGTAGGGAAGTTTTTAATTAGTCCATCGCTAGCAGGAACTATGTGTGCTCCCTGCAGGAGGAGCCTAATAAATTACCTGGTAATCTCCATCGGAGGCTTTGTGTAGGAAAATGCTCATTAGTCTGCACGAGCAGCCAGCCGCTTCCCATGAAAGGGTTCAGAAACGTGCTGTGGTAGGTATAGCTCAAGCTGCCTGGAACAGAACTTCTGGGGCAGGGGAAGCAAACAGGCCTGGGGCGTGAGGGACACCACGTGCATTTGAGCTACATTGTCTGGGGACAAAAGAACTCTGGGGACCTTCGCATTACCTCCTCCTTCTCACTCCACTTTCCTAATGGTGAGGTTTTTCTCCCACCCCCAAAGACGTCAATTTTCAGATCACCCCCAATGCCCCACCCTGCTTTTCCAAGTGTGGAGACATCAAATGCTTAGGAAATGGTTGTCACAAACAAATAATATTTATGCTACCCTATTTCGATGGACAGACAGAGATAAGATAGATGGATGCAGACTATAGTTATGTAAGGTGAGAGTGTATAATGTTAGATAGTCTGGGAAGAGAATTCTGCTCAGGGAGCACAGTGTGTGATGCGCAGAGTCACTGAGAGTGAAGGGAAAGACTGCCTTTCATGATTTGATAATGAGGGGGTCCCTGGGCTGCTTTCAGGGAGAACCGGTTCCACTGGCTCCACTGACTTGAGTTCTGTAAGTTGCACCTTGGTAGCTTGATCAGGACATTCGGATGATTGCAAATGTAGAAATATCTTGCCAAATCCAGGCTGAGAATTTGAACCCCAGGAGAGAATCTGGTAGGAGGATGGGCCAGTAAAGCCAGGCTTTCCAGGCAAGGAAGGAAAGGACAGGAACACACATCCCGGCAAACAGCAGAGCCCAGATGCCTACGGGGCGGGCATTTTCACAGTTATTTGCCATAGGGCATCCATAAAGTCCTCCGTCCCCCCCGCCCCAGAAAACTGTCTCCTAGAAGCAGACCTGAGACCAGCATTTGTGTGCAAGGGCTTTGTTAAAGACTCACGGGAGACTTGTAGGAGAATGAGAGAAACCAGCTTCAGACAAGGAAGTAGTCTAGTCAGAGTGAGATCACAGGCAAAGTGCAGCCAGATCCTGTAGGAAGGCCTTGGGGGTTGACCCAGCCAGAGGTGAGGGCCAGGCCTTGGGGGACTAAGTCCTCAAGCCCTTCTGGTCCTTTGCTGTGGAGGAAGAGTGACTCCACAGGCAGAGGAAGAACTTCAGATAGGGACGCCACAGGGATGGGGCAGAGCACAAAAGGAGACAGGGAATTGAGAGGCGCCGATGCCGTCTACCGCGTGCGTCTTTAACAAGCTCTATCTGGTCACTAACGCTTGGGTGTGAGTCAGTCCTTCACAGGAAGGAAACAGAAACATACACAAGCAGGCAAAATCTGGAGCAGAGCTAAAACAAAGCCTGTCTGAGAGCAAAGAGCACCTGATATCTAGGTTCACACACGGGGAAGCACGTGTATTCGTGTTTCTGATTATTTCTGCTAATGTCCAGGTTCCTTCCCACATCCAGCAACCCAGCTCTGTTCTAAGCTTTTCTCAGCCAGTCTCTTGCCTCGTGCTCCTCATCCACACCTATGTCTCCTTGTCCTGTGGCCACCAACTAAGCTTTAATGTCCTCCAAGATGTCATCTAATCCCCACGACCCTGTGCCTTCAGGGCTGGTTGACTTGTTTCATGAGTAAGGAAGCCGGGATTTAAGGAGGTGAGTCCAAGTTCTCTGACTAAAGGCTGCAGCCTCATGTGGACTGGAGTTGGTGACTCCTGACTGCTAAAACTGCATGTGACCATCCCTCTGTCTAAAGCTCTTTCACATCAGGGTACCTATGCTCCCTATCTACCAAGCCCTGGTTCAAATATCATGTCTTGTCCAAAGCCTTTCAAATTAGCCACAGCTCTTGGAAGGAAAAGATAGAAATCCAACACACAGGGAGGTAAAGTTATTGGTCTTGGCAGTTGGGAAGAATGTTGGGGTGGCTTACATGTTTGAAGGGACTGACCCTGGAATTTGAACCCCAAATAAGGACTCACTGTTTATATCGCCTTACTCAGCCTATTGACCTTAGAAATGGAAAATCAACACCCCCTCTCTCCATTATAATCCACAAGAGACTCCACTCAGGCATATTTGGGTCACATGCTTACACCTGTCCTGACCACTGAGTTTAAGGAACTGATATTGTGATCAGTCAGTCTAAAAGACTTTATTGTTCTTTGAGGACAGAGACAGAAGAAAAAATGTTATGGGCAGTTCAGAGCCTAGTGTCCATGATCCATTATAGCATTTGTGAAGACCCAGACAGAATCACTGTACATTTTCCTGGCGTAAATAGCTATTTATGAGGCTCACATATCCTTTGGATCAAGAATTTGGACATGGTGGATATGGATCGCCTCTGCTCCACACAGCATTGGAGCCTGAGGTGAATGGTCTAAGCCAGAAGGCCTCAGTAGCAAGGCTCATTGACTGAGGGTCTGGCTGCTGGTGCTTGCTGCCTGAGGCAGGGGTTGAGGAGGGGAGGACCAGTTCCTCTCCAAGCTACCCTGTCTTGTGAGATGATCTGGGTTTTTCCTCACACCAGCTAGTTCAGTTCCCACAGTGAGTATTAGAAGAGAGGGCTAGAGAGCAGGAGTCAAAGAGAGACTGAGAGATTGAGTGGGGGGAAGAGAGGGAGGGAGCCAGGCAGGAGATGAGAGAGGAGAGGAGCCAGAGCGAAGGAACTGCCCTGCTTTCTGTCTGCCGCTTTCTATTTGGTTGAGCCTCACAAGCCTCTCAGGTTCGAGGGGAGGGGAGACAGGCACACTTGAGAAGGGGAGAAATTTCTGGAAGAGAATATGGGGTCTGAGATATTGCTATTGACATTTTCAGGAAACACAGGTTTATCTCACTTTTTTCCTGTAAAATTTTCTTTGTGGACATTTTTTTTTCATAGCTTCTGAGTCCTTTTGCTATAAGATGTTTCCCCTGTACTTCCCTGAACCATAGCGAATGTTGTGAGATGTTCGCATCCGTGTTTTCATGCAGCACTTTGTTCAAAATGCACTGACTGGTGAAACACTGTGAAATGAAGCATCACAGTTTTTTCTACCGACTAGCCACGTGACTGAGGAGGAGCCCGTGACGTCTCCGAGACCCTGGAAGTTCACATCTGAGGAAGACGAACAAAAAATTGTGGTTTCTAAATAGCCTGGCTTAACAGAAAAATTATAAATAACTTTCTTCAAATTACATCTAACCCAGAAGCCCAGTATGTAAAACAGGTTCTTAAGAAAACAGCTACGCTGTGGTTGAAGGTGTGTGAAGACTGGGAGAACTGCTCACTTTCTGCTCCCTCCTCCAGGGACAGTGGCTTTGAGCTGCCAGCCACTTGTCACCTCAACTTTGCCCAGAATCTCTACTGACAATATAGCCCACTTCTCTGAGGAACTACCTATAGTTGTCTCTCCCTCCCTCCCTCCCTCCCTCCCTCCCTCCCTCTCTTTTTCTCTCTCTCCCCCTTCCTCTCTCTATCTCTCTCTCTCCCTCCCTTCCTCCCCCACCCCAAGTCTGCTGAGCTCACACAGTGCTGACTCCAACCCTTAACTCTTAGACACAGAATGTGACCCAGACCTGGACAAGTGAGGTCGCCATGATTGCTTTAGGAATGAGCTCACAGCTCACTCAGAGCCAAAAAGACTCGGTCCCCTGGGCTTTTGACTGACACCTATCAGAAGGAAGAAAGCTTTGATTCTGAGTTTGTGTGGATGGTGGAATAAAAGGCAAAGTTGTTCTGTAGGGTAGAGGCTGAGTAAGAACAAGGGTCCTACACCACAGAAAGGTAAACTAAGAGGCAAGGTGGAAGGAATAGAGAGGGTGACTTGATGATTTGAACGTGTGGAACCAGACCACCCCGTCTGTCTGTCTGTCTGCCTCTCTCTCTCTCTCTCTCTCTCTCTCTCTCTCTCTCTCTCTCTCTAACATATCTGGAGCCTAGAGATTGATGATGAACATCTTCCTCAGCCACCATCCATCTTATCTTCTGAAATAGGGTGCCTTGGCGTTTCTTCAGTC